GGTGTATTTTTTATTTTTTTATTTTTTTACTGACTTCTGTTTGTGGCACAAATTGGTTTTTGACTTTGTATATATTGTATGGTGGAATATATTTCTCTATATCCGCGCAACTTCAGTTTAAAAATACGTATAATACAAGTTGGGCTGGAAATTTTAAAAAAGAAAAGAGAAGAAAAAAAGCTCGGTGTTTATCCCGGCTGCTATTGCGGCTATTATTACATACTGCTGCACCTTTTTTTTTTTTTTTTTTTTTGAACAGGCTATTGCACCTAATTTGTACACATCATCATTTTTTTCTTGCCAATAATACATCGTACATACATCATCAGTTACTTGTAGTCTCAGCCAACTTATTCTTTTCTCGTTCCTTTTTTCTTTTTTATATATTTTGGTTGTTAAGGAGGAAAAAAAAGTTCCTTTCTTGTCCTGTATATAAGCGTTACTTGTTACCCATTCAGATGTTCTTGAGTTCTTCCTTTGTATATCTAGAATTAAAGCACAACCCTCTTTTTAAGTGCAATCCTTTTTTCAGTCACTAAATGAGGATTAATTAGAACTATCAGGAAACGATATAAGTTTGTAGCGTTTTATTAGGTAGAACCGGCACAAAAAAGGAAGCTCCACATTCAACCGTCTATTTGATGTCTATAACCCAAAAAAAAAAAAAAATCCTAGGGTTGAGTACTGGTTTTGTCTCTAAAATTCAGTGACGGAGCTAGAAATTTTTATCAGTGTGGCTAATAATTTAAATAAAACTTTAATAAAAATAATTAATACACTATAATTATCCCCTATCATGCTTGTATATTAATTTCATTATCAAGGTCATTGAAGATTGAGTTTATAGTTTTTATGTATATTTGAGTTTTGGAGAAAGTAATTTCTTTGTTAGGAGCTATGAGACTAATTTTAGTGTGAGCTAGCCGTATACCAATATAATATAATACACACTTACATATATATATATATATATATAATTTTTAAAATAAAAGATTTGAGTTGCCCACTGGAGCCTTACTGGCTCCATCTATGCTATAAATTTTTACATATTTAACCAAACTATTGTATAAGAAAAATTACCTATGTTCGCATGATCTATAGTTGTTGTGAAGTACTTTTTTTTTTCCTTTGAGAGTTCTGTGTGGGGATAAAATAAACCTTATCGGTACTATACAGCTCAAAACAATGTCATAATAGAAAAAGTATACACAAATTCAAATAAATTTTGTTAAAAATAAGTTCACATATATGTGTGTACATATATAAAAATATATATTTATGTGTGTATATATATTTTTTGATATTTATGTGTGTGTGTGTGTGTGTGTGTGTGTGTGTGTGTGTATATGAGGATTTGTTACGGTTATCAATTTACGAGACAGTGCTACACTTGTCAGAAATTAACCTGGATAAATAAAATTTACATAAACAATTCAAATTATCAATTACTAATTAGATCTTTATAAAATAATTTTTGATTATTTGGCATTCAAAGTTTGATAAAAACCGTGATGCCCAAAACCTTATTCTTCTACTTAAAAGAAAATTTTATTGTTCCACTTTCAAAAAGAAAAAAAGGAAAGAAAGAAAGAAAGAAACGTCATTTTTCAAGTATATATATGTACATACATATATATACACACACATATATCTCGTCGCGTCAGCATTCTAGAAGCTGTTTATTACCAATGTAATTATTGTTTGGGTCAGTCTTAATAACTTGAGAACCTGGCTAATCTAATGAAGGAACGTCCAAGTTAAAATATTCCCAAAAGCTTGTAGCATATAGCTTCTAATATACAAACGTATCTTCTTCGTTTGTGGGAAAGCGTCAGATACGTATATATATATTAATATACATACATGATACACGCGTGTTGTGTGTATATATGTATCAAATCTATTTAAATATAACATTGGCGTGAAGTTTAGATGAGTTAGGAAGATAGATCGAGTGTATACATACACACATATATATCGGTTAACGAACTGATAAGGCTAGTATCGTTATCAAAGATCAGTACGTAAATTATATATAACTTGTTCTCTAAATTAGGGTTAGTTATAATGTTTTAAGTCATTATTAATTCTGTGGTTTATGTGTTAATAAATACTAACTTACCAAGTTGTAGGCCCTTCAAATTGATCTGAGCTTAGAGTGACAATTAGTAGCTAGCTTCTTTCTCTAAGTGACCAGATACATAATGTCAATGTTGATCACGACCTACGACAATGAGAGCTGAGATTATTAGAAGAGATGGGTGCATCATGATAATTGTCCTTATGAGAAAAGTCAACGATCATTAATTAATCACACAATCTCTCTCGGAATTCTTTTTATATTAGTATTATTACTTTAAATTATTAATTAGTTTAGCTAAATCTCACTAGACCATGTATATTTAAAATTCCCATTCCATTGTTGGATCCATAAAGCATGCGCACATTATACTCAGCTAGAAACAAAATTATTAGTTTTTTTTTAAGGGACATAATTCTCTCAACTTTACGAGTTTGGCAAATTGTTTCATCAACTTTCAATCTCAACAATTCACTCTTTAAATCTTGAAATTCGCTGCAATGTTGGTCAAATTAAAAACAAAATAAAAAATTTGAAAGTTTTCCTCTACGTGAACGTTATGACGCATATTTTGGTCTTTTTACATGCATGAAATTGGTTCCTATATTCACATCACGAGTGATTTTTTTTTAATTGAGGATTAACCGTTTTGGGAAAAATAATTAGGGGCTCTCCAATTTCAAATTTTTTTTTACTCATGATGTGTATATAAAGATCAATTTAATGCCAAAAGATTAAAATTACAATTAAATGTTCAAGTGAAAAAAACTGTTCAAATTTTTAACCTCATTTTTTATTTGACTAACATTGTAATGAATTTCAAACTTTAGAGAGTCATTTAAGGGACCAATTTTTCAAACTCGTAAAGTTAACGGAGCTTTAAAAAAAACCCCCAATTAATTAAGAGACTTACAGGCCAATATTACATGGTACCCTGGTGGACAAACAAGCGCCCGCTTATTTCGTGGGTTTCATGCTGTTAATTTGAATTCATGAGTTTAATTCAAATTAACATTTGGATGTGCATTGATTGAGGTGATTTTGACATCTGATCATGTGATATGAAAAGCTATCTAAAAATGGTTTAGGAGAACTTAACCCCTTAATTGTCTTGGTTTGAACCAATTTACTAAAACCATAAATCCATGTACACATGAGGTAGAGAGGGGATTATTCTTCATTAGGAAATTGCCATGCATTGGTACGCTTATACCCATATTATACATAGACGTTTCGCTGAATATCTTTCCCTTTGGCTATAGCAATATATTACCACCAATTAGTTGTAATTATAATAACATTATTTTGTGTCACCCTCAAGCACTGTGGGGCAATTCCACCGCCCTAATTAGAATTTCCAACTCCTTTGAAATTCCAACCTCCATAAATATTGTGAAGGAAAACAGAACAATATCGGAGATCTAGACATAATGTATTAATTGCCCCCATTAAAAAAAGAGGAATTATATGCAAAATTACTTGTACGGCATGGAGCGTGCCAAGTACTCCCAACAACAATATCAATTTTTTTTTTTTCCTAGGTCAGTCAGTAAGGTTCTCTTTCTCTTTCATATATAAAGGACAATTTCTAAGAAGGTACGTCCCTTTATACCGTGTAGAGACAAGTAAGTACTGACTTTAGAAGACTTTGGAAAGATAGCAACTTATATAAATATATATATATACATATATATAGCTAAGATAATATTTGAGTCTCCGAAAAAAAAAAAGAAGATAATATTTGAGTCAGTGTATGGAATAGCACGGCACTCGTGTATATAACTTAGAGATTAACTATTTAATTCTCAATTTTTTTTTTCTTTTCTTTCTAGAACTAGTGCATAACCTAGAAGGAAAATGAACTTTAATATTGTTGAAGTAGTTAGTTATTTACTACTAGAAGCTAGCTATGACATCATTAAATGGAAAGGTAGCCAAATAATTTTCTTCTTAAATGAAAAACAATTCTTTCTATACTTAAATGAATGGAAGAATATATATATATATATATTCATGTATATACTCTAATATTTATCTATTAATAAGTATAATTGTTTTACCTGAAAAATATTAATGTTGTAATAAATCGAATAATTAATAAAAAAATTTATGACAATTAATAAAATTATATTCTTATCATACAACGTCATTAAATTTTTATATAATTTCATGTTAAGTTTCAACGGTATATATGGTTTTACAGGGATTCTTCAAAGCCTCCGTGTACCAAAAACCAGCACGGTTCACGTTATTAGAATATTATATACTCGGAAGCTTCCAAGGAGCCAGCTATCCTTTTGAGAAGAAATATTTAGTGTGTGTGTAGTTATCATAAACATACGTATACTCTTTCTCATTTCTTTTTTTTTTTTTCAAAATATTAGGCTTACTTGTACACACACACACACACAAAAAGAAGGAATTTGAAACCCTCTATATATCATACATTATTAATTATTGCGCGTGGAAGCTCATATAAACGATAACTTATTTATATATAAATAATTAATGTTTGAAATATAGACACAGAAAACACGGGTGGTTTAACTAATCCTAAACTTAAAATTGATCATCTCTCTCTCTCTTTCTGTCTCTGTTTTTTTTTTTTTTTTCCTTCTTTTTTGCTTGAGGTGACTTACCAGACGTACTGGGAGTTTGTTTATTTATCGTCTCTGCAGACTTTTTATGCATCTCTACATAACTTGTATTTGTATATGCAATCGGTTCTTTAAGATAGCAAAAGACCATAAACTGATCATTGTATTGTATATGTAAAATAATGAACAAATCATGTACAAATATAACGCATACCGGCCGGAAAATGCCAACTAAACAAAACAAAACAATATATATATATATATATATATGACATATGAAAGGAAACAATAATTAAATTGATCATCAGCACTCAAAAACTATATATAAAACGATTACTTATATATATGTATGTATGTATGTGTGTATCTAATTATAAGAAACAATCAACCAATTAATTGGACCGTCGTCCCAAGCTGAAGAATCTTGATGTCATTCTCTAAAGGCGTTAGATTCAGATCCAAACACAAAACTCTCCTACTACTATTCGTCTTCTTCAAAACCGGGACTTGCTGCAAAGTGGTAGCTGAATTCATGATGAGAGCTGGATGATGATGAGGTCGAACAACATGTTGAGCTTGGTTAACCTCTGTCATGGCGGCTCGGTGGCGTCTCATGTGGCCACCGAGGGCCTGCCCTATAGCGAACTCTAGGCCGCAGATGGTGCACTCGTGTGTCTTGGGCTTGGCAGGAGATCCCCCCTGGCTGTCGGAGCTGCTACCTCCGTCTCCGGTCATCACCCTCGGCTTCTTGTGGCTCGCCCGGTGGCCCCCGAGCGCTTGGAACGACGGGAACTGCCGGTTGCAAGTCTTGCACTCAAAGACTCGGCTCGGCGATGACGATGGCGACGGCGATGAGTACTCGAATTGGTGGTGATGATCTCCGCGGGACAGGAACATCAAGCAGTTGGCCATGGTTAGGTTTTCCATGTGGTCTCTGTCTGTAATGCTTCTCTTCATGGTGATAAGAAGAATTACGTTTTGAGGGTTTTAGTGTGAAAGTGGATGTGGTCCTTTTTGCTTTTTCTTTTTTTTGTTTGGAGGCTAAAGATTTTGAACGTTTTGGGGTATTGGAGGCCTTGAGATTTATAGGGTATTGTAAGTGTTTTTGGTCAAAGTGAATTGTTCTTGTGGGTTGACTTTTTAGAAAATTTTGACCTTTCATTTTGGAGATAAGGGATATATATATTATAATATATATATATATATATATATATATAGAAGGTATTTATGATTGTGGGAATAAAATATGAGCTGTTATTGTTGAAAAATAATTTATCAACAAAAACGACCAAAAAATTAGAAAAAACGAAGTACATAACCCGGCGGCTAACCACGTAAGCATGATCAAGTAGCTGAGCAAATGCACCACAGAAATCTTGGAAGTAGCCCATAACCAGAAGTCTTTATTTTTTGGGTTAATACCCGTAACAAGTCATCTTTATTAAAAAAAGGTTTATTTTTCTAGAAGTAGAAGATTCACACATTTCATGCTTTGCTAGTATTTTTCATGTCATTTGGTCTAAACTTGATTGCTTCCTTAATATGAAAGTAGGAAGCAACAACATGAGTCGCAGTCTCGCCGTGGAAAAGTACACCAGCACAAGAAGGGCTTAACTATAAGTGTGTCTATACATACATACAATATATATTTATATTCATATTTTGAAAAAAAAAAGGCCCAAATATTCGTGATATAATTGTTAGAGATAAAAATAACATAACAATTTTTCAAACACTACTAGCTAATTGATGATACAACTGTGCAATCGTATTCTTTGGCCAAAATAAAAAGAGAGAAAGAGAGAGATGTAGAAAAAAATCCAACTTTCCCATGTGAAAAGTAATTATATAATCCTATATACGTATTTTCTCAGTAGCATGTGGCAATATTAATCAAATATTTCAATTTATATACTAGTAGATATGTGCATGTGTTCACATTATGCATGTTTAACAAAATTAAGGAAAAATAAAATCTCTCCATTACATGGGTCTTTGGGTTAAAATTTTACTTCCCAAGCAATTTTGGTACTAGCAGTGGCGGAGGGAGGTAAGGCCCAGGGGCAATGCTCCCGATTTTTGATATTTGATTTTTAGTATATGTTTTCTCCAAAAATGTTATATATGTCTCCTTATCAATAAAAATTTTAAATATATCCTCACAAAATTTAATCTCAAATTATTTTATTTCTTATTATTATTTTGATCTTTTTCTGTTAAATCTTATACTTTAAATGTACTTAATTGATTTTTTTTCTCTAATTTATTCATATGAAAATAATTTTTCTTTCAAATTGGTCCCTTCTAAAATATTTTTGGATATAATCTAAGCTATATAAAAAATGACACATTAAAATATTTTTCTCAAAATGTGTCCCTAATTAAGAATTTTTTTTTTCAAACAACCCTCTCAATTATGACTTTCTCACACGCACATTTTCTCTAATTTGCCCTTATTAAAGTAATATGTATTCATTCAAATGTGCCTTGTATACTTAAAGATCTTTTTTTCCTCTTCTGACACTTGCAGCTACTATCATGACCCGCCAACAGCCACCCACTATGCTAGGCCGGCGATAAATCGTGATGGAAAAACATAACATATGTACATACATATCATACCATATTTACGGATCTTTTTTTTGCATACAAATATATATATATATATATATAACATAGTCATAATAATGTAAAATATTTAAACTTTTAAAAGCTTACAAATCCTTAATCGTAACACGGAGATTCTAAAACTTAAAAGGAAAAAGGTGCTTAAAAGGGGTTCTTTAATTAAAAACATAATTTTACAGAAATTGTATTGAAGCCATAAGGCCAATTCTCAAAAACCAATATCAAAGTTTGGCAACTACAAGTCTTATCCCATATACTTATTCACTTCGATTCGCTTCCCCGATCACTAAGCTTCTATCTTAACATTTTTCTTTCCCTTTTCTTGCAACACAAGGAATCCTAATGAGCTAGAAAGCTCAGTAAGCGAGTAGACTAACTACTCTAAATATGGATGTAATGCAACACAATAATTCCTTAATAGAAAAGATACGTGAACGTAAATGTAGACATAAGCAATATTAATTCGAATGCCTAATTCAATTCCTCATAATTTTTCTCAACATACATAGTTCTATAATTCATAATTTTTACACTCGATAAGTAATCATAATATAACATACTTTGTATCCTAATATGTTTCATAGAAGAGTGTATTACACTCCAATACCCATAAACTCGTCATATTAAATATTCATGTTATCAATTGACTATTACTTTGACCTTCATAAGTCATTTCAAACGTATGAAATTCATAATCCTAATGTACCATAATCATTATTATATGTCATCATAAATCATAATCTTAACATACTATAATCATAATCGTAAGTCTTAATCTTAACATACCATGACCATAATCATACCACATCATAAATCTTAATCAACTTCTTACCATAAACCGAATTGCTTTATTTAGTAGTCATGTACCCCCATAAGCACAATCGTGCATTAGATTTAAACAAGAATAACACATTGATAGTAACTAAAATCTAAAACACATAACTACCCCTAATAATCTAGCGTATCCAAATTTGCCTTCTTATTAGGGGTCACAACAATCAAGAAGATATTAGGAAACAAGATAATCACAATATTAATCACATATTCCATTTAACATTATCATAGTTAAATCTAACTAAGAAACATACATACTTTAAATCAACATGGTCTTATCATGCTATAATCTTACCATGTCATATCATACTCTTATATTCATAACATAACCTCATATCATATACTATTATGAACTAATCATTCTATAGTAAATCGTGACAGAATATTATTATGTCATAACAAGGTGCATAACTTATCACATACTCAATGAACTAGTATCATATCGTGCACGTACTAATGGGTCCGTGGGACTGCCTTATACCGACTAATGCTCAATCGTGTGTCGGTCCTAGACTCCAAGCCAATGGGTCTAAAGAATCACACACGCGGAACTCAGTACCACTTAACAAATCGGTCTTGACTTCCAGGAGTGTACCACTAACTACACGATGCTTGCATATAACACCCAAGTCATAATCCATTAGCATTCACAGAAGCGATAATGTGGGCGTTCACAGGGCTTTATCCATTCTTGTCCTGCCAAGATTCAAAGAATTCGGCACTATGACTTAAACACAGATTCTACGACCACTAAAGTCGGCGAATCTAGATCCCGGGATCAAGGAGCATAAAGTCTATCGAGCAAACTTATTTAAATCATAACTATCATATTAGGTCCTCTAACGGACCGACAGTGCCCACTACTATGAAAAACTAATCATATCTTAGTATATGCCAATGTTCATAAGTGAATGTCATGCCAACAAAATCATGCCCTATCTTGCCATGCTACTTCATATATCGGGTATGTTATTTATGTGCTCACATAATTAAATTAAGCATATTCACATTTTATATACCGCGTCATGTGCATTCTTATAATCACCATAAACATGCTTATATTCCTTAATGCTCACATACAATTAGATATTTTTCATTAAGGCATAACCAACATATTTGTTGTACATAGCATAATGGGCATAAAACATTCACAGAGAAGTTATATGTTTCCATATCATGTTCATGATCATGGAAATCATAAGCAGCATGCTAAACAATAAAAATAGTACATAAGGCATAATTATATTCACATTTCATATTGTCATAAACAATCATGGTATTCTTACATAGAATGAGAAACATAAGTCACAAGTAAATTATAAGCATCACTTGTGCTGCAGGTGAGTACTCTACTTTTCTTAAGCATTCACATATCCCAAACATAAGCTCCTTACCCTTTGTTTAATTCACACACAATGATTAGGTGCTCACCTAATTTTAACAAATATTTTCCTGTCACTTTGAGCATTACAACTCCTATTAAAAGTATTACGACACTCTAGAATTGTTAACAAATTCCTAAAAATAGGAAATTATATTGTTTTTGAAAAAAGTGGTTTGAGGTTGAGGAAGACTCTTTGGAGCTTAATAACCTTGTCCATAACTTAACAAAGCGAAAACAAGTGCTTATATCATAATATGACAGTAATTTTCTTAAAAGAAAATCCATCAAACCAAAATATCTAATTAAAATTCTTAAATCTTGTAGATATAACTTCTTTAAGAAAACCAAAAGAACACAACCTCATAATATGAGCTTTCATTATCTTTTGACATTGCCAAAAATATAATCTAGTGTAAATAGTGAGATTTTCAACTAAAACAACCAAAATCTCTGTTTTGTCAAACTTTCCGTAATCGAAATTAACCATTCATCATCGAATATGACACTCAAATTACAAACGTATTTATAAGTATCTAAATAACTATAAGCTTAGTTTTTAACCATAAAATTTCATATATTTAACCAGTCATTAATATCTAAGTATCAACTACATATCTAATAGCACAAATGTTGACCATAGAGCAACTTTTATCAAAAGATAGATTCGTCGACTCTTACAAAAATATTCATAATAGATTATAGGTAGATCAGAAAATTACAAGACAATAGCCCAATCAAAGTAGACTCATAGAGCTTTCTTGAGAGCTATTATAAGTTAGGTTTCAGATAATTAAATTCATCAAAAAGAGCCTGTAATCCATAGTAAAAATTTCAGTCAGGAAATTGACAGATTTTTTATACGAACTTATAAAAATCATAACTAATTCCAAAAAAATATATGTTTTGAGTGATTCAAAAACTAAATTAAAGCTTGAGATGTTTATTTTAAGAGAAAAATATCAACGGAGACAAGACAATATATAAAATAACTGAAAAAATAGAAACTTCACAGCTGGTCACAAAAACTTAGTCATGATCATTTTGTTAAACATATGGCATGCAAACTTTAAACAACTAGAAAATAAGCTTAAAATCATAAAAAATTAAATGTTGTCATAAAAATACACAATCTAACTCAGTCTCATGGGATTTTGAAGGTTAAGCACTCTTACCCTTGAAGAAACGACAAAGTTTGGCTTCACTTTGATGAT